ACATCCCAGCAGAAATGTAGGCACAGGGACTATACCAGGTGAGGTTTCTGACACCCTGATGCTCACCCTCACCCTAGCTAAAGCTGGTTCAGTTAAGGGCTGCGTGCAATGTGCAGAGATTGGGAAGACCCTACCAGCGCCAGGAGGCAAGGCCCTCCTCTGTGCCACCCGATGCATGCTCAGCCTCACTTGGGTGCAAAGTCACAAATTCACAAAATGCTAGAGCTGGATGGGCCACTCCAGACACATCACTTCACGGTTGAAAATGTGGCAGCCACAGAGGCGAAGCAACTTGAAAAGGGAGGGTGTGGTGGGCAGCAGGGCCAGGGCAGGGCCAGCGACAGAGTGAGGCTGAGCCTCACACAGCAGGCCTGCAATGGATGACTGCCCAGACTCTACCGGGGTGAGAGACGGTGCAAAGCCAAGCCCCTCAGAGCCCTGAATGAAAGTGCTGGAAGCAAAAGCAGCAGAAAACAGGAAACCCTGTGCCTACTCGGCCTTCCTCTGAGGGGGCTCGTCTGCCTGCCTCTCTCTGTCTCTCTGTCTCTGCCTCTCTCTGTCTCTCTGTCTCTGCCTCTCTCTCTCTCTGTCTCTCTGTCTGTCTCTCTCTTGCTCCCTGCCACACACACACAGTTTTGGTGGATAGAAATTTCTTGTTATACAGAAACAAGAATCCACCTCTTCAGACAGAAACCTCCTCAGAGCACAGTTCTCAGTCCAGGTCTCTGCATGATGCCTGGGAAAGCGGCTTATTTTCCAGAACGACAGGCGGTTCAGAAATCAGAAGGTCGTCCTCCCCAAAGGAAGCATTCTGCTCCGTGTTCACGAAGTTGGGGATGTCGAACGTCATGAGCCTGTTCAGCTCCTCCTCTGGCCGCCCGCTGCCTCTGACAGCTTCCTGGAGCTGGACGTCACTGTCCAGGCTTGTGGTCTGGTGACAGGCTTTGGCCCTGTCCACGTGTCCCACTTCATTGATGTAGCAGTGAAAGAGAGACCTGGACTCCTCGTTGCCCTGGCAGGAAAATGCCTTATCTGGCTCCAGAGGTCTTCCAAAGTCCGACACAAAGCTGTTCATTCGGAATCTCTTCTCCGAAGACTCTGCGTTGCTGTAAAGGGAAGAAGAGAAGAGGTTTACTGGCGGCTGCTCACCCGCCCAGAGGGCACCGGGCAGCTCCCCCGGCGAGTCTGTGCAAGGGCATGGGACAGGCAGGGAGTGAGGGCATCACGCCCCAAACATCCACAAATAACCCAAGATAAAAGCCTCCAGACAGGGCCCCTGGAGCATCCTGGGAACAGACTCTGCTGTCAAATCCCCCACCGTTCTGCAGCTACACCAGCAGTTCCCGAGGGGCTCCTGGGTCACGGGCATCAGAATCACCCAAGGCGCTTCTCAGAAAGCAGAGTTCTGGGCAGCAGATGCTCAGAGCTCAGAAGGCAGCCTCAGTCATCTGCATAAAGATTCACAGAATCTCCAAGGCCACTGCTCACACTGAGGTCTAGAACCCCCAGACACATCATGCCAGCCTGAAAACACCACCACCTCAGAGGGGCGTCAACTACCTGTCAAGGGCTCCCACAGCTGTGAGCCTTCCCCGTCCTCAAAACTGACCAGTGAGGTCACTCAGAGCAAGAGTTGTGCCCATTTTACAAATCTGTAAACTGAAGCAAG